GCTGGGGGGATGGTTCATTGGATAAAGCATCATTTTTGCCTATATTTAGGTCCCTAACACCCACATAAAAGCAGGGGGAAGAGGCGGGGCATTGGACTGCCTGTAAACCCAGTGCTGGGGAAGCAGAGACAGGGTTCCTAGGCCAAGTTGGCTACATGGACTTGCTGATTGGCAAGCTCCAGGTTCAGTGAGATGGAGGATCTGTGTCAGTCTCTGGCCTATACACACACAGGCATACATACCTGAAAATATATGTGTACCCACACTTGCAAAAACGCATGTATATCTCACACACACACACACACACACACACACACACACACACCACGCATACAGATGCAAAAACCAAACAAAACACCTGCAAGAGGGGCATAAATGGGCCACATTTCAGTCCTCTCATGTTAAGAAACAGAGGGCCAGAAAGAAGGGGAGCCTCCTCCTACGCCTTCTCATGGAGAAGGTAGCGGTAAGGTACGCCTCCATGCTTCCCTTGGGAGGGAAAACACATATCAAGCAGAGTCTCTGTGTGAAGACACGTTCTGAGGTAGATTACTAAGCCCTCAGGCTACTGTCGTCCATCACATACGGTCAGAGCCCCCACACAGACCAATTCCTTTCTCCTTTGGTTCTCTCAGATCCTTTCCACCAAAGAAATACTCCAGGAATAAATCCAAGACTGAAAATGCCAATGGCTATCTGAAGGAAAAACAGCATTTATAGAATAGGAAAGCAATCAGAGAAAATTCTACAGTATAATAACCCACACAAAGGATTTTAATGTTCAGTGCTTGGAGAGTCTCCAAACTGTCAAAGAGCCATTTAAAAATTCTTGGATGCTCTTTTTTTATTGACTCCAAGGGAGAATGGGCCTTGAAAACGGCATGGAAGCAGTCACAGTAATAGTTGTAGGAGAGGTGGATACCATTTGCTGAGTGCCAACTGTACCGTAGGTAAGTACTAACTGGCTTTAGCTGGTGATGACTGGCTTCACGACCTTAGGCCTGCTATTCAACCACTTAGCTTCCCTCTTTAGTCCCGAGAGGATGTGAACAGTCTCTTGCCTCCTCTAAGGACTGCTATGAGATTCATTTTGATGACTGATAAGAAATGTTTAACACCATGCCTGGTGTATGATATGAACCTAACCAGATGGCAAATGTATCATCCTAATTTCTCATTCTTGGGACACACAATACAAGCCAGGTGTGGAGGTGTAATTTTAGCATGGCACGGGTGCTAAGCCTGATGGATCGCCTGGGCTATGCAGCAAGATACTGTCCAAAAAAAAGGAGAGCTGAGATTGAAAGAAAAAAGAAAGGTATGTATTGTAATGGTTTATCCTGCCCCTTTAAGAGGCAAGCCCTGCCCACTCCCTGCCCCATCTGCTGAGGCAAGCAGTTCTTCCTTCTGCTTCCAGCCTGAGTCCCTTCCTTTCCTTTCCATCTTTCTCCCGAAGAAGCAGCTTCTGCCTCTCTCCCTTCTCCCCACTTCTCCCCTTCCCCCCTGTTTCTCTCTCTCTCTCTCTCTCTCTCTCTCTCTCTCTCTCTCTCTCTCTCTCCTCTTCTCCCCTCCCCCCTTTCCCTTACCCTTCCATAACCCACTAAATAAATGCTCACTTTCTCTGCATGGCGTGCCTAATAGGTTTCTGTCTCTCATCCGCTATGCAGCTCCCTGCAGTCAACTGTCTTTGTGGCCCACCAGGGTCTCGAGACCCACTGGCCTTCATGCTCTGCTGCTGTGCCCCTCGGGGAACAACAGTGCTTCATTTCTATCATAACATTGGTGCCTGTGACTCGGCGATGTTTTCTCCATGTTCCCTCCTGCCTGCAGGCGGGCTGGCTGAGGAAATGGGGAACCAGGTTTCTTTACAACAGCTCTGTGCTCCATCTGCCTAAATGCCGACCTCTAGGCACACCAGCGGCTTCAGTGATGAGTTTTCCCCTTCCAGTCAGCCAAGCACAGACTTCACGACTATGGTTGAGCCCTTCACTGACATTCATCTATGGTTGCTTCCCATAGCTAAAAAATGTGATCGGACAACCCAGGGTGGTCCACCCGTGCTAGTACTGAACATGCTGCATTCTATTTGGGGCCCAGAATCCCTTGGAGTTTTCCTTCTCTCTTTTTCTTTTCTTTTGGATGACTCATAAGTGGTCCCCATTGTGAGAGACTGCTCGGAGCAGCCTCCAGCCTCTCTGGCTTCCAAGTCACCCAGACCAGAGCCAGTCAGGCTTGGACACCCCACCTATAGAGAGAGGACACTCTTCTACAGGCCCTGTGGTGTTTATTTGCTATTTCCATGGATTTTTACATTTTCAGCCATGGTCTACCCTCAAAATGAGGAGTAGACCTAGGTGCCAACCAAGTAAGTTCTCTGTCATTTTTTTAAATCAATGACTCAAGTAAAATTTTATCCTTCTCGAAGATCTTTGATGCAGTTTGACAGCTGAGAGGTTTTGTCAGTTTAAAAGGACAACCTCACCAAACAAATTTCAGTAAAATACAAATACAAGTTATTAAGGTGTGTACCTACAAGTTATAAAGGTGTGAAGACAAATACAAGTTATCACATTTCTCTTTCATGCCGCTTTTCATAGTCTTAAAAATACTTTTCATTTTGCAAAAAGAAATATCTATCATAGTCATTCTGATATAAATATGCTGCTGTTTAAAACTTATGTTTTCATAAACCCAAAAAATTCTTGTGAGTTCCAGGGAACTAAATTGAAGGATCCACCTTAAACAGGTCAGATACACCCCTCTCAATTTCCTGGTCCTAAATTTTTTTCGTAAACTTAACTTTGTCCTCTGTTCTGCCAGTACCTTAGACAGGTATAATAATACCAGACAGTTCCATACCACAAACACCGAACAGGAGCAAAGAGACCAGCTATGCCAGGATGTGACCAGCACCCAGTTTTCTCAGGTTCCCTCCCCCCAAAGATGATGCCCACAAATAAGCAGGAAGCAGTCTTGAGAATCTGTCATCCCAATTCCTTTAACCAGTTATGCCTAACCTCCAGCCTTTTTATTATTAAAAAAAAAAAAGAGAGATGGTAATGTAATGGCCTGCTCTGTCCCTTTAAGAGACAAGCCCTGCCCACTCCCTCCCCCATCCACTGAGGCAAGCAGATCTTCCTTCAGCTTCAAGCCTGAGTTTCTCCCTTTTCTTTCTCTCTCCCGAAGAGGCAGCTTCTGCCTTTCTTCCTTCTCCCCACTTCTCTCCTTCCCCTCTTCTCTTTCTCTCTGCCTCTCTCTCTGCTCTTTTCCCTTCTCCCCTTTCCCTCCCCCCATAACCAACTAAATAAATACCCACTTTCTCTGCATGCTGTACCTAATAGGTCTCTGTCTCTAACCCACCATGTGGCTCCCTGCCTGGGACTGGCTGCCTTCGTGGCCCACAGTCGTCTCGTGGCCCGCTGCCCAGTGCCGCCACTCAGGGACCTATGACATTTTACTTTTACCATAACACATATTATCATATGAATTTCATAAATGATGGAAGTTGATCAAAACAAGTTCAGGGGCTTTCCTGGGAGCCCAGAACTCACGGACAAGCCTTGAAGAAGCTCCAGACACTTCTTGTCCATTGCTCTATCACACTCATAATCATGGCTGTCCTGCAGCCCCATGCTCACAACAGCTTATGTCGGAGATTTCAGTAAACTAAAGTTACGGAAGCCGGGAGAACAAATAACCCCCCGTGATCACACCGAAGATCTTTGCTGGGTGTAGCAGCCAATTTTCGGTGCACATGCTGAATAAGATTGACAATGAAATGGGAGAACATCTCATCTCCTTTGGCAATCCACCACAGCCCTCCCTCGCTTGGCTCAAGTCCGGTCATTAACCTTTGAGATTTCCTGTAGTTTGGGAGTCAGAAATCCTGGGCTATGTGAGTGTGTGCGCATGGAGGCCAGAAAATGTGAGCCTGTTTCCACGCGGACCATAGGTCAGAGAGTTGGAACTTACCTCTAGTCCTTCAGAGTTATTGTGTTTCTACCTCAAAGGTCCCCTCTAGATTTAGATCAGAGAGTTCTGCTCTATTAAGGTTATTGTCAACAGGTTTGGCTAATAGCCAGACCTTGTATTTCAGGAATAGAGAAGTAGATATGTTTCCATTTCAAATGAAAGAAAATCTAAGGATCCGAACTAAGTGCTAGTTCCCTTAAGGAGATAGCTTTGGATTCCACCCTGGGCGTGGTTTACCTACAGAATGTTTCGGTCTAGGGTGTGAGCATGACTTGTTTTGTTCTAGCAATAGAATGGTTAACTAAGGATGTAGCCTGGACTGGGCGGTGGTGGTGCACACCTTTAATCCCAGCACTGGGGAGGAGGAGGCAGAGGCAGGCGGATCTCTGTGAGTTTGAGACCAGCCTGGTCTACAAGAGCTAGTTCCAGGACAGGCTCCAAAGCTACAGAGAAACCCTGTCTTAAAAAAAAAAAAAATAGCCTGCGACCTTCAACTGGTTTCTTTATTTGCTTGTATCATGTTAATGCAGTTTTTGTCTTATTCCTTCCTTTTGTGATCAGGGGTATTTTAAGCAATTGAAAATTAAGCTCGGGTGAATTCCAGTACTCACTGGAACTCCCTCCCTATACTATTCTATATGTCTCTCCATTTCATTATGTTCATTTGCATCTTCATATTCTTTACTATATTTCTAAATCCCCATGCCTCTACCCTGGCAAGAGGTATTTTTGTAGAGGCTGGTCCCCAACACGTGTGTGTGTGTGTATGTGTGTGTGTGTACGTGAGCATAAGTGTATTGAAACATAGACTTTGTCTATATATTTGGGCATCGTCTCTGGCTGCAGTTTCACTACACAGCAGTGCTGAGTGCTTGCCAGAAAAATGCCCACAAAACCTAAAACATCTACCTGACCACCAACAAAGAATTCACCAGCCCTCGGGTGTAGTCTAGTATTTGCCAGTGCAGGAGCCCAAAATAAAAACATTCGAACTTAAGTGTCAAGCAGAACAGTGCCCATTTCCTTACTGGTTTGCATGTGGACGCCAGTGCCTTCTGCACGGTGGGCAGTGTGATTTGAATCAGTGCTTCCTGGAAGATCTTCTTCCGGATGGTGCTGCTGTCATAATCATATTGCTGCGAACACAGAGACACATGCTAAGGAGCAGTTTTAATCCGTAACTTTCACTGAAACAAGAAAACAATACGCCAACCCAGTCACCTCCCTTCCTCAGAGGATTCTTCTAAGTTTAGGGTCTCAGACATCTCTTTCTGGAACTCTTGTGTAAACTGGGTCTGGGCTGTGTGGAGTCATGATCCATGCCACCCACCCCTTTTACAAATATGGAAACTGAGGCAAAATCAAGCCAAAGAAACACTAGGTTGTTTAAAGATGCGGCTCAAACTGGAGAGTGAGTTTGTGCTTCATGACTCCCCAACTAAGTAGACACAGGGGAGTCATGGGTATCAGTTATTCCTGTCCCCAAAGCAGGGTGGGTGGCTTTTAATGATGTCCACAAGAGGAGAGACGACGTGACTTAGAGTTCCATCGACACAGCGAGCACACTGAACACCCCAATCTGGAGAGTACGCGGCAGCACTGAGCGCTGAGCAGTTCCAACAGAAACAGACCAGTGAGGACTAAAACATCCACCTGACACCAAAGAGTTCGCCCACCGCTCTCTGGTTTAGTCCAGGGCTTGAGAGTACAGAAGCGCAAAAGAGCACATTCAATCTTAAGAGTCTACAAGAAGCCGGTTAGTGGTGATACATGCCTTTTATCCCAGCACTGGGAAGGCAGAGACATGGGGATCTCTGTGAGTTCGAGGCCAGCCTGGTCTTCAGAGCTAGTTCCAGGACAGGCTCCAAAGCTACAGAGAAACCTTGTCTCGAAAAACAACCAAACCAAACCAAACAAAACAAAAAGTCAACAAGAGCAGGATCTTGGGAGCAGCCCATTTCCAGCCTGGTTTGAGGTGGACGCCAGTGCCTTGTGCACAGGAGAATTGCTGTGGGCATGTACACACAATGGTTCAGCCGGAAGAAGAATGACTGGAGAGGCACGCACTCACATTGGAGTCATAAGGCCACCAAGTAGAGAGGCCATGGGGGGCGGTAGGGAAAATAGAACCACCAGGGCCAAGAGCCTGATTCGAGCATCAGTAGGCGCATTCTTGCCGGCAAAGTTGTGAGAGGTGAATCAGCTGTCTTGGGAGGTGGAATCTGTTCTGTACTCATGGGGCCACCCCTGCCAGGAACCTTTTTTTTTCCAGTAGCAAATAGTTTATTGGTAAGTTCATGGTTTTAACTGTAGCAGCAAGTTCATTTGAATAGGAATGTGGTGGTTTGAAAGAAAGCGCCCCCCACAAAGGGAGTGGCACTATTTGGAGGTGTGGCCTTGTTGAAGTAGATGTGGTCTTGTTGGAGGAAGAGTGTCACTGCGGGGGCAGGCTTAGAGGTCTGGCTGATGCTCACGATACTGGCTGGTGTCTCAGACCACTTCCTGTTGCCTGTGAATCAGGATGTAAGAACGCTCTGCTCCTTCTCCAGCACCGTATCTGCCTGCTTGCCATCATGCTTGATGCTTAACAGACTACACCTCTGGACTGTAAGCCACCCCCAATTAAATGTTTTCCTTTTTAAGAGTGGCCACGGCCATGGTGTCTCTTCACAGCAATAGAAACCCTGACCAAGACAAGGAGACAGTAAACAAGTCAAAAAGATAAATGCTCGCAAATTATCAGAAAATCTGTGACCATCTGGGCTGTCGCACAGAAATCTGAAATCACTGAAAGGCCAAATCTTGAAGAAGATCTGTCCTCTTATTGGAGCATATGATGTAGGTCCCTGGTACCTGGTGTCTGCAGAATTGTGTAAGTTGTCACCTTCTAACTAAACACATAACTATGGCTTTTACAGCGACCCGATGGGCTAGTGGTGAGGACTCTGTCTCCTTCCAAACCAATTGCTCTTTTCCAAATATTTGATTTTCGGATCACTTGAACGATTTTGCAATTACAGTGTCACCTCTCTAAATAAAAGGGAAGCTAGGCTGGACAAGGCGAAATGTAGCCAGTAGTCCCAGGATGCTGGAGTTCAGGAATGCAAAACCATCGACAGCTGGACTCCCGTCACGCAGGTCTGTTTTACAGTCCACCCAGTGTTTAGGGTGACTGCGAGGTTTCCATGAAACCCCAACTCTAGAGCACATGTCAAAGTGTATGTGAGTCCCCCATGGCTGTGTATTTCCGTGGTCCCGTTCACTGGGCAGCAACAATATAAGGCTGGCTATAACACTGACCTTCAGGTATGCTAAGTTCCTTTCAACCCCAGCACCTGAAGACTGGGGCACCTTCCTACCTCCTTCCTCTCCTGTCGGCCAAAGCGTTGGTGACTGTGGTTTGACCTCACCCCTCAGTGCCGCTGCTGCTGTGCCATTTTCTCTTCAATGATCAACACTGCTTTTCATCGCAACAGTTTGGCCGCCAGAGATCCTGCTGCCTGAGCGGCATCAAGACGAGGTCTGGAACTCTGGGTCCTACCTTAGACCCGAGAGAACATCCTCAGACCCTACAGGACTTCAATCTCCCGTTCTAAAGCACTGTTTTCTGAAAGCCCGAGGTCGCAGCAACAAGTGGGCCAGGTGGAAACACAGTTTCAGCTCCAAGCCCGTGGTCCACGGCTGTGCTGAGCTTTAGGAAAGAAGTCCAGCTTCAGAGGACTGGCTTCCTCGTCTGCCATGGGGAGGAGGGGAGTCTAACAAGCTCACTGAGAGTCAAAGAAAATGGTACAGTTCTGGAGTCTTTTTCTTAACAGCCTTCAAACAGGGCAGAAGAGATGTCTCTGTGGATGCTTCCTGTCCTTTCGGGGGCCCAAATTCTGTCCCCCAACACCTACACTGGATGAGTCACAACTGCCTGTACCTCCAGCTCCAAGGGCTTGGACGTCCTCTTCTGGCTTCCATGGGAACCCACAAACAGGTGACATGCATTCACACAGACACGTGCAAACACGCATAAATAATAAAAACTAAAAAATATAAATCTTTGGAGTGACAGCTTAGGAACGACAAATCTTAGGAACATGAATTTTTTAAAGGGCTTTAAATAAGTACATAAATACACGCAAGCTCCTACTGTCACGACAGTTTTATCATGGATTTATACCTAAAGTTCCTTAAAAACCATCTCAGGTGGCAGGTGTACTTTTCCTTGGGCTGGTTCCTTTGGTTCTAAGTTTGGGGTTTTATTTAAAACGTTAACTAATCTTGTACTTGGAATGCTAGGCTGCAGCTGACCTAGTGTTATATTCTATGCAATATCTGTCACCGTGTTTGCGGTGGCCAGCCTACACACTTGTCAGGTTGTGAAAGTAACCTCAGGAGACTTTTAACGCCTTAGTGCAGACGACATGTGGTTTCCGAAGACGCCACTAGATGGCAGGAGAGGCACGAGAGTCACGCTAGGGAAACCGCGGGGAAACAATGGTCATCTGTGCTTGGGAAAAGGGGATGGGGTGAAGGGGTGGTCAGGGCACTTCCCACTAAGGAACAGGAACAGGGGTCACAGTCTTGTCAGATGTTCCCCACAAATGAAGGCAAAACTCTTACCTTTAAGACACGGAGCTTAACCTTCTCGATGGTAGCCGCTGTTTTGGAAGCCTCTCCTTGGAGATGTGGGGAGAGCAGCTGCTCAAATGTGAACACCGCGTTCTCCATGAGCTGTCCATCAATCAAGCCAACACAGAAAGAGACCACAGTCAGAGGCTGGGAACATGGACCTGGCCTGCCTGCCTAGGCTCTGGCAGGAGGAGATGAACAGAGTTCCCCCATGCACAACTGTGGGGGTGACACACGGCTCATCATACTCCCTGGATTGTGAAACAAAAAAACCTAGTGGCCACTATGAGACGGGCAGAGGGTAGAAAAACACCCTTATTTATACATATATGCATGTATGTCTGTCTGGCTCAAAATGGTATCCTTTTGTCCCCTCTTCTACCCATCATTCTTAATGGGAAAGAAACCCCGGTACGGAGGTACTTGGAGCCATGGTCTCCTTGTAGTCATTCTCCTCTTCCATGCTCTGGTGACGCAGACACAGATCACATGACAAGGTGGGAGAAGGCCCCACAACTAGAAGGACATAAGTCAGTCTGCAGCACATACTCCCTCCATTGCCCACCCTATCGTCCCATACGGCGCTCTTCCTCCGAGAGGCTAGTGTTCCAGTGGGAACACGGAATGGTCCTCATAGGCTCATTCCTGTTTATGAACACTGGGTCCTTGGTGGGAAGGCACTGTGTGGGGAGGCTATCGAATCTTTAGGATGCAGGACCTTGCTGGAGGAGGCGGGGACTTGAGAAATATAGCATCGCCCCTCCTCCAGCGCAAACCCCTTCTGCTTCCTGGGCACCAGCCACGGGCTCCCGCCTCTGAACTCCATCCAGCATGACCTCTTGCCTTGATGGACTGTCCCCTCTCAACCCGTAAGCCAAAAGGAAAGGAATCCTTCCTCCATTTTGTTGCTGCTGTTGGGCATTCTGTCACAGCCATAGGGAAGGACATTCACAGAGCTGAGAGGAGAGGTGGGGCCAGGGCTCCATGGCAGTACTGGCTACCACACTGGGAACAGGGCTTTATTGTTCAGGAATATGATACAGCTCAGATGGCTTAGTTTGTAGTTGTGCCTGTGTTTGTTTCTCCAGGATCCAGAACTATCCAAGAGATTGTTTTAATATTGTTGCATAACTTTGCCATTTATCCCTTATACTTTTTAAGGCAGGGTTTCATTCAGCCTAGGCTGGCCTTGAATTTGCAATGTAGACAAAGAAGACTTTAAACCCCTGATTTGATCCTCCTGCCTTGACCTCCCCAATTCTGGAATTCAGGTGTAACTCTAGGTATCTGGCACCCTCTTTCAGCTTCCAAGGGCATCTGCGTGGTACACATGAGCAGACATGCACAAAAATACATGTAATAAAATACATCTTAAAAATAAAACTCAAATATGAAGCTGTGGGGCTGGAGAGATGTCTCAGAGGTTAAGAGCACTGACTGCTCTTCCAGAGGTCCTGAGTTCAATTCCCAGCAACCACATGGTGGCTCTCAGCCATCTGTAATGAGATCTGGTGCCCTCTTCTGGCCTGCAGGCATACTTGGAGGCAGAATGTTGTATACATAATAAATAAATAAATCTTTAAAAAAAAATATGAAGCTGTAGCAGGTCTCCTTGAAATGAGGCAGGGAATTCAGCCAGTGTTTCTAGATCCTGGCTGCATGTTAGAAACAGTGGGAGATAAGTGGAGGACATTCTCTATGAGTCTCAAATACATTATAAAACATATATTAACATATAGTATATATATAATATTTGAAATCACTAGAGGTGGGGCAACACACAGTAGTTCTTAAAATTTCCCCATGTGTTTCTAATATGCAGCCAAAGTTTGAAGCCTTGACTCAACCCATCAAATAATTACCAGCCAATGCTACTTTATTTCCCAGATTCTAATATTCTGAAGAAAGACGAAGCCAGCTGGAAGGACAGTGTGTGTCCTCAGTCAACCTGACTCTGGAAACAGGCCTCAATTCCCTGCGCTGAAGAGCAGCCCCACTACATCTGCCATCATGCATTCCTCCTTTCCCTCCCTCTCTTCTCATCCTCATCCTCCCTGGACGCCCTTCAGCTCCCACCTCTTGCATGTAGTTCTGTGTCCTCTGGACCACAAGATCAACGTGAGGGAATCTGAAGCGGCTCTGGAGATCCAGCAGGCGCTCTGGAAGCAAGGTGACTTTAGTATAACAAGGTTCCATCTTCACAGAATCCAGAGGAAGCTTCATCAACTGGTCCAGACGCTGCATTTGGGGAAGGAGAAAAGCAAATGCCCTTAGATGCAGGACTCTTTCCTTAATATTACACAGTACTAAGACCTACATTTGAAATGGTCAAGTATATGTTACAAGTATTAATTACAATTTGCACCACATCTAAGACATTTTCAACTGTTTTCTTTCTTTCTGTGGTTCCCTAGGCAGCTCTACTGCTAGGAAAGAAACAGAAGAACCAACCAGGTATCAGCAAGTCTCAGAGGCACACCCAAACAGGGGCTCCAGTCTCTTTAAGTCCTCAGTAGCCTCCAAGTCCCCACTTCCTGAACTCAAAAAGCAGCCAGGCAGGCTCTTTGGCAGTGGGAAGTGTCACTGAGCCCATGAGCCTGCATAAGATTCTTTAAGGGGCGGAAACTTGTTCCATTTTCTAAGCTTAGTTTAAAATGCTCTTAAACTTGACCGCTGAAAGCTTACAATAAGCCGGAGAATGGGTGAAGACAGGGAGGAAATGGCTGGAAATGAGAGCTCTCAAGAGAAGCTATGTAAAAGGCAGGTGCGTGTGACTAACACGGGAGACCCTGTCTGAGAGGAGTTTTCCAAGGCCCACGCCCTTGGACTTCACAGGGGGAAAGTATTCACTTTTAAGGAGTGAACAAGGGAGTCTGCTGAAGTGGAATTAAAGATTAAAGGGGGGAAAACACGGTGTTACACCTCCTTTTCTCCTACAATTGTAAATGCATCAATTTCCTTTTTAAACATTTATTTTACTTTTAATTATGAGTATATGTGTGTGTGTGTGTGTGTGTGTGTGTGTGTGTGTGTGTGCAAATATGTGCATGTGAGTGTAGGTACCCATGATGGCCAGGAGAGGGCACCAGATCCCCAGGAGCTGGAGTTACTGGTGGCTGTGAGCCACCTGACATGGGTTCTGGGAACTAAATTTGGGTCCTATGAAAGATCAGCAAGTGTACTTAACTGCTGAGCCTTTACTCCAGCACCAGGAATATTTTACTTAAAATAATTAATTGAATAGGCCAGAGAGGAAAAGTGGGTGCCTATCTTATTACTATCAAATTGTTGACAGTTTAAATAAGTGATAACATCCCACAAAGACCATAACATGGAGAGAAGGCTCCTTCCACAAACAAATCAGTACAATGCAAAATTTAAATTTTTTTTGAAGTTTGAGGTCAACATCTGTTAACGTGCAATATACCTTCCAACCTAGGAGTCTACCCCACTGAAACAAAAGCATCAGGATATAAAGAGCGTGTGCATAAACACTTATACGTGTGCCTATGATGTGATAGGATATGTATACATATACACTTACACATGTGCCTATGATGTGATAGGATATGTATACATATACACTTACACATGTGTCCATGATGTGATAGTATGTGTAGATATACACTTACACGTGTGTCCATGATGTGATAGGATATGTGTACATATACACTTATACGTGTGCCTATGATGTGATAGGATATATGTACATATACACTTATACGTGTGCCTATGATGTGATAGGATATGTGTACAAAGTTATTTATTATAGTTTTGCTCATAGTGCCAGCGATAATGGGATCACTGAATAAACCACCACATTTCTAAACATGAAAAAGTGATTCAGAACTAGATCAGTTACCTTGGAAACAGTTTCATGAAATCATTTTGAAGAAGAAACCTGATAAGCAGCTTAGTATATAAAATAACTGTATTTTTCTAAAAGCAAACAAAGTAAGTTAACAGCACTGAAAGGTGTGTTTTCTATATCTTCTAAGAGGCGGAAAAACAAAACAGTACAAGCTGAGTTGGTGCTAGTGTGTGTGTGTGTGTGTGTGTGTGTGCGCGCAGAAGTAATGAAGGGGAATAAAGGCAAGTTAAAACACACACACATACATGTGTATACACACACATTCACGTGCGCACACACACACACACACACACATCCCCCATACAGACATGTGCACACATACACATGAACACATACACACATCTCCCATACGGGCATGTGCACACACACACACACACACACACCCCTACCATACAGGCATGTACATACACACACACACACACACACACAAGTACCATACAAGCATGTGCACACACACACATGCACATATACAGCTGTAATAAGAAGCTTGAGACATTTATGAAATGACCTTAGTTTTGTACAATCACATGTATGGGCATAAAGAAATGAGGAAAGTACAGCACAGGAGGGTACCTACGGCTTACAACATCTATCATGTATTTCATAATGAGCTCGAAGAGCTGCCAGCACACAGAAATGAAAAATGTTTAAGGGAATAGAAGTGGTAATTACTTATTGGATCATTCCACACCATCTGCACGAATAAACTGCTGAAACAGGCATGCAGAAGCCGCTTTGGCTAAAAAAGCACTGACTCCTCAGGTAGGTCCCCCGATAACCAAAGCAGGATAAATAAAATGCTGGCATCTCTACCTTCATTTAGGGTCTGCCTGTCCCTTTTACTTTGGCTGAGGCACAGAGATAAGTCATTGTCCTAAGCCTACAGCCACGGTGGATCCTAGGAGGAGTGGAGTCTCCCAGGATGGATCCACATATAGACAAGGGCAGTTACCCGTGCAGGCGAGGCTACACCTGGAGCAGAAGAGAGCATCCTGTAGGGATCAGGTGGATCCACAGAGGTGCTCAGGGTGATAGGGACAGCCAGGAAGCTGAGGAGTGAGAGCTGGGGCAGTGCTCAGGGGGACCAGGAGAGCTGATCGGGGTCCCACCCTCCATTTAAGCCTAAAGCACACGCCAGCACATCAGAGACAGACTTGGTCTCTGGAACCCTTTATCTGCTCCTCTCCCAAGGTGCCGCATGACCCCTTTCCTCTGCCTGTCACCATTATTCATCTCTTTGATTGGCATGTTGTGACAGAAAGCCTGCTGTGGCTGCTGGCCAGGCTTCTGCCTTCAAAGATCTGGCTAACATTGTCACACTGTAGCTCATAAATGTGTACAATTACAATGTACCAACTAAAGAAAAAAACCCTTTTCACTGATACCAGGAAGTGGGAGAGAGAAACAATTACCCTAACAAGTCCTATCCTTAGTAATACGGTAAGTGCAAGGCAAGTGGCCAGTGTCTGTGTCAGCAAAGCTCCTCCCGAGTTCCTATTAGCGCAGATCACGCCCTCCCCTACTTTCTGATTCAATAGATTGAGGGGCCACTGCTGCTTGACAGGCATGGCTTTATATCAGGAATCTACAGCTGTGGAAACAAGGCAGCAAGTGTTATTTAAAGTAAGGAGATAGGCTTATATATGAACAAATAAAGCACTCTGGTACACACACTGGACGATTTCAATCAGTCAACGGGAGGGCTTGGGAATGGAGGCAGAGGGACTAGGAGCAGTTGTTATCAGTTCTGGTTGCTAATTTAGCCTCTTTACAGACATGGAATTATATATTTCAGTTCGCTGTTTCACTTGTACAAATATTACTTTTGCAACTTAGAAACCATTAATAAAGAAAATTAGGTGAATTTAGCTATGAATGGATGGATAGATGAGTTACGTGGGTAGATGGCAGGAATGCCAGATAAATGGATGGAAAGGAAAAGGAAAGAGGAGAGAGAGAAAGAGGTCAGAGGGGACTGTAAGGGAGAGGAGGGGAGAAAGGGAATCAGAGGCCAAGGCAGAGAGAAGGGGTGAGAGAAAGGTACTATGAAAAGCAGCCCAGGGCTGCTGGGAACTCGGCTCCCCAGCTTGCTCTCCTACCTCCTTCAGCTGGACACTGTCCTGGGTGGCATGGAAGCTCTGGCTGAGTTCATCTACTTCTTTTTCGAAGAGTGCCCGCACTTCACTGAAGCCTGAGCTCACCGGCCCCATGACCTCCTCCAGAATGGACGCTAGGAATGGCTGTACGCTCTCCCCACAGCTTTTCTCGGCTGGCTGAGCCACCATTGCTGAGGGAGGAAGAGATCAGAGGGTAGCATGACTTCGGACAAAATCAGATTCACGGGCCACATCACAGCTAAATGGCCCCTGGGTGAGCTCTGATGGGCAGAGCAGGCTGGTATAATGGATCCTTTGCCAGCGTTCAACAGGATGGCAAACCCACTGGATGCTTTGAGACCTAGGGTGTCTCCAGGACATCCTAGTTTCATCCTGCCCTGGGAAGAATGTAGTTCTCTATTTGATCTCCACAAATGTGCAATGCCAGGCAAGTCCACCCCCCATGGTCATCATCACAGATGAACACTTTGTCATATCATTAGCTTAATTAAGGCAAAACTAAAAGATCTTTCTGATAAGGATGACAGGCTTAGTGACCCCACACACACACTCACACACACACACACACACACACACACACACACCCCGAGAGAGAGAGACAGAGAGAGACAGAGAGAGAGAGAGAGAGAAAGCAAGCGAGCGAGTGAGCGAGAGAGAGAGAGAGAGAGAGAGAGAAAGCAAGCGAGCGAGTGAGCACGAGAGAGAGAGAGAGAGAGAGAGAGAGACAGAGAGAGAGAGAGAGAGAGAGAGAGAGAGAGAGAGAGAGAGAGAGGGGAAATCATAGCAGGGATGAAAATACCCTCACAGTCATTCTACCCTCTAGAGACAGACACTGTCTTTGGTCCCGGCTCTGTGAAGCTGAGCAGGGCAGGGAATCTGCATGGCTTGTGTGCAGAGGGCATACTCCTGGCCACCTAGGTTCAGAAGTCAATGATGTCGTGGAGGAGGAGCACAATGCACGGATTGGGAAGATCAACTTGGTGAGGTTCAGTGGATCAATAGCTCTGTCATATTATCACACAACCAAAATGGGAAGAACCAGCTGCCTGGGATGCCCTTCAGCCTTACACACGGGGAAAAAGAAAGCTGGCCACATTAGATGACTTTGCCAAGGTAAAGACTAGTGTGCAAATGTAGGACTGTAACTCAGAACTGTGTTTCAGTTATTCTGGGCATGGCATTCAGGAACTCACTGCACTGTGGGTTACCTGCTCAAGACCTGTGCAGGGCCCAACAAGATGGTTCAGCGGGTGAAGGCATTTCTTGCCAAGACTGACGACCCGAGGTTATCCCCAGGGCCCACGTGACTGAAAGAGAAAACTGACTCCTGGCAGATGTTCTTTGACCTCCACACATGTGAAATATGCACACCCATGAAGCACAAACATACATACAAAGAAATGATGTTTAAAAAAGGCTTGCATAAGATCAGTCAGCATTCTAGCAGGTAGCACTAATTAGACTTGGTGGTTTACCAAGGAGAGAGAGAAGAAGGTGGAAGTGGGTGGGGGATGTGGAGGGCGAGTGAGAGGGGAGCCGAAAGTGGATATAATCAAGATACATTGTATACATGTATGAAATGATCAGAGAATAAATAAAAGGCCCCTTTGATGATAGATTCAAAAACGAAACAATTTGAGTTTTGTAAAATTTTTTAAAAAGGACTTGTTTGAAACCCAATTGCAAAAGTGCTTGCCAAGAAAAATAAACTGTTGGTTAATTAGCTTTGTGAGAGGAGCTGTTGGAAAAGCATCTAATTGGGGTCTCAGGATAATCCTGGGCACTGGCAATACACGGTGATGATCTCCCAGTGCTGGGGCTGGCATTTGTCAGGTGGGTGGAGACGGGCCCTGGTCCTCTCCTCAGCATTCCCTGCCTGCAACCGTCTGCATTGTGTTCAGCCCTGACTCCACCCCTTTGTCCAGTGCCCTCTCCCCTGGGCCTTCCTTTCTCCATTTCTGCTGGTAAACATTCCTCTTCATCATGCCTTCAGGGTCCAGCTCATATGCCACATATTTGGGACAGCCTAATGACCCCTACTAGGGACAGCCTAATGACTCCCACGACCAAACTTCGTGACCTGTGGCCTGCAGGTGTTTCCTATCAGGCTGAGCAAGGATTGAGTTCCACATACACATACTGTACCCTCTTCTAATTCAAGAGTCTCCCTGCTAAGAAGCCTAGAAGGCTGGGGCTGGTGGGGCTGGAGGGGCCAGGGTCAGAGTCTGCTCTACACGAGCCTCAGATCATCAAGAACATTCCTTAACCAGGGTCTTAGATTTCTTATCTGTTAGATAGAGACCTTAGGAGCAATTATTCTGGGGTTACGGTGAGGAGGAAACAAGCTTACCATTTGTAGAGTCTCAGAATGGTTGTGATCCTTAAGGAACACAGAGCTGTGGGCTCTCTCATACATTCTAGTCACCTAATACTAAAGCAGGACCCTGCTTGAGCAGCCCCCAATTTTCTGAAATGGTCCCTTTTGTTCTGGCTTCTCTGGGAGCTTTTTATCACATTTTCTTCCTGTCTTGGTATCTACAAAACGGTTCATGTCTTCCGCGGTAAAAGTGTGTTGATGGGAAGCCTCTGGGTCCTTACACTCACAGGAGTAGAAAAAGTTCTTACTGAAGATAATTGTGGAGCAGAACGGAAGATCAGTGGCTTCACTCCCAAGTGCCATGTGGGTAGAAACGGAGAGACAGCTCCTGTGATGGTCTGAACAAGAACGGTCCCCATAGGCTCACATATTTTAATGTTTAGTCATTAGAGAGTAGCACTAATTAAAAAGGATTAGGAGTTGTGGCCTTGTTGGGGTGGGTGTGGTCTCGTTGGGGTAGGTGTGGCCTTGTTAGGGTAGATGCAGCCACTGCATCGGAGGAAATGTGCCCCTGGGAGTGGACTTTTGAAACCCACTGTGAAGTTTCAAACATCCAACCCTGGCCCAATGTCTGTCTGTCAGTAGCCTATGGATCCAGATGCAGACTCTCAGCCACATCTTCAGTACCACATGTGCCACCATGCTCCCCAACATGACAATAATGAACAAAACCTCTGAAACTGTAAGTGAACCCCAACTGAATGCTCTCTTTTATAAGTTTCTGTGGTCAGGGTGTCTCTTCACAGCAAAAGAACACTAACCAAGACAACTACTTAATGTTCCCCAAGCTTTCCTGAAATCCAACACCCTTCACCAGTGCAGCTGGCGTCCTTCTTTGTTTTAAAGGTAGAGCAGCAGAGACCGGGTTAAAATGTTTCTGCTATGTTTTCCTTCCTCTCTGGCTTTCTTCCTCCTTTCCCCTTTCCCTCTTTCTTTCTTTGCAATGCCACACTTTCTTTTCCAGCCTGGAACTCACCATCCTCCTGACCATGGCCTCCTGAATGTGAAAGGTTACCAGTGAGCCCGTTGGACCTGCCTGAATTCCCAGGGAGTCCACTGTAACTGCCTGAATTACCTGTGAGCCTGCTGTACCTGCCTGAATTCCCAGGGAGCCAGCTGGTCTAATTTCAGTCTGGGTAGTCAGGCCCGGATGGGTCTGAGAGAACCGAATTTTGGCAGTTTTAGATGTACATGGAATTGCAACATACACTCCCGCTATATCGGCTGTGAGGCTGGACAATATCAAGCAGAAACCACCCTGATGCTAATCTGTACCTGGCTTTAGAGGCAATGCAGAAACAGGCCCCCAAACACCGCACAGCGAGTCTCTTCTCACCTCCTCGCAGGAGGAAGCATCCTATGAGTTCTGAAGCACGCTGGGCTGCAGTACGAAGAAGATAATCTGCCAGGCAGACAACCCCCCTGGTAGACAGGCCACCGTGGGAGCACAGGATCTCAAGCCCCACGGCGAGCTCAGAAGGCACCTAGCAAATGTTCAGCGTGTGAGCAATCATCTGCTCACCGACTATCCAGAGCCACTACTAAGGAACAATCACCGAGGGGCTTACACACCCTCCCTTCGCAGAAACATCAGGCGCGCTCTGCGCATTGGGCTCAAGACTCAGAAAGACTATGGAACTGCAGAACGTACCCTACAGACCCTGCCAAGGCTACTGAAGGCCTCTGTGTGGGGAGGGGCCAGCCATTTCCTGCCAAGGACCGGACAATAGAGACCTGTGGCTCTGCAGTCCTAGGTCCGATTTAAGGTTCCAACAGCTCCGTTCTCTGATGTGTCAGCATGAAGCAGCTTAGGCTGTGAACTCATGGATGAGCATGACTGTGTTCAATATGACATCATCTGCAAAAACAAGCGGGACCAGGCCCAGCTTGAGGACCGCAGTTTGCCAGCCACACTCTGGTCAGCCCTTCCAATTGCAGATTAGGAGACTAAGGCAAACAGAAGCCAAGTGCTACCCTCAACAACACTCGACTGGCTGGCATGTACACTGAATTGGGATTACAGACACAGATGGACTGACCCTAAGCAAAAAATTGGAGGCTTTTCTCTCAAAGAAAAATACATTCTTTACCACAATACACAGGCACCCATCACCAGGCAGGAAGCAAGATTCCCTCCATCTTGGGTCTACAAAGCATCCAGGGTAAAATGAGGGTTCTTAATAATATGACAGCAAATCCCACTATAGCGGCTATTGTCTGCCCTCAATTCCCTCCACTTAATCCTTCTCTGAAGCCAGGTATACTGAGGGCAACTGCTTCTGGGATCCCCACCCCCACCCCTCAGAGGAGGCCCAACTCCGGGGACACTAAAATTCTGGCTATCAAATGACACAATCTTTCACTAGAGCCTGGCACATCCAACCATATACCTCTTAAGTCTTAAGTTATCTTTGGTTTACAATACTGAATACAATGCAGATGTCACATAGCTGTCATATGTTGCAAACAACAGGGATCATTGTAGACATTTTTTCCCTGGGCATTTCCAACCTGTGATTGATGGAATCCATAGATGTGAGAGCCCTGGGTACAGAGGGTCAACACATTCTCTCTGTGTGTGGATCTCCAAGGGGATGGCTCATTTATTTGGACCAGCAGGGGGTTACTCCACCAACCTCTGATCTTCCCAGTTAGAAAGTTCTTTGAGTTGACAATCTGGTCCATGTCTGAGCGGATGGTCCCTTCCAGGCCCTTTGTCAGGGCTCTGCACTCCTCCTTCAAGGCGCTTAGTCCTTCCGACACTTGGTGCTGAACTAGACCGTAGGCCTCCTCCAGGAGCTGTAACACGGAGCAGCACACGACCCGTGACTAAAGGAGCGACAGAAGGGAGGGAAGCAGGCCCAGCGCAGACTCGCAGGTAAACAAAACGGGGCACACATTCAAGTTTCAAGTTCAACTCTGTTTAGATTAGTTCTTAGGTCAGTGAGACTGAGCAGGCTCAAGGTAGACATTTTTCTACCTAGGAAGGAATTATTTTAAAACAACACCACGTGCCCTAAAAAGTAGAGATGGGAATGTTGGCCTTGACAGCACAGTTGCAAAGCAACATGGCCGCTTACCCCAAACCAGGCCCGCTTCCTGTCGTTCTTCTTCCCTTTCAGTTTAGGCAGCAGATCCGTCTGAAGGGTTGGCAGGAGCTCCTCCATCACCAGGTTACTCAGGACCTGCAGGGTAAAGGAGGCCGCAGGACATCAGTGGATGAAGGCCAGCTAGAGGTCTCATGACAGCACCCCTGGGCTACACAGCTCAGAGGTGGGGGAATGAGGATTGAAAGAATATGAGTGTTGACGCTGGGCATGGGACTTAAGGGCGCGCACATGATAAACACATGAAATCTTGGTTCACAAGTTCAGAGGCGAATATCCTCCAATAGTCACAGGGAACAAAAGTGTTTCTATTCCTGTTATCTCAAAGGAAAGAACATTTTCCTTAAATTCAAACTCCATGTTTGTGCTAAAAGGACCTCAAGCATTTAGAATGAGAAGAGAGCTTCTTTTTTTTCCAACATAATATTTTTATTGATTATTTGGGAGTTTCACATAATGCACACTGATCACATTCACTTCCCGGTCTTCCCAAGTCCTTGTGACCTCCTCACCCCCAAAAAAGAAAAACAGAAAAAGAAAAACAAAGAAAAAAATATCAATACCAAAGGGAAAAATACCAAGTCCATTTTATATTACTCATATACTCATTGGAGCATGGTCAAACTCCCAGTGTCCGGATTCTTAAAGAAAACCGCGTCCTTCCCCACTCCTCCCATTCCAGAATCCATCAACTGTGAAGAGCTACCCTTCAGCATCCCTGTCACAGTTTTTAAGAGTAGAGAGGGAGTTTTCAATGGCAGATAAGGCATCCTTAAACAGGAAAATTAAGTTTGACCGTGATGGCCTGAGGCCGGCTGGCCTTCCAGGATTACCACTCCTTCTCAAGTCTCATGTCTCATTCTCCTTACCCCTACTCTTCCCACATACGCTTTCCACCCTCCATTGCTTACAAAAAGAAGGAAGGGACAGAGTAAAGAAAAGGCAACAACTGCTGACCACTTTAGGCTCGCACCGCACTGCCCAGTCCAGCCCTCGTGTTGGCCATTCACTGTTAGCATGCCCAAGGAATGGGCTAGAGGGGGTGCCAGGGGAGATAGGGCCAAGGTAACGGACGAAACTAGAGAAGCTCTTCAAGGTGGTTGGCTAAACCTCCTCCGAGGAGACTGAGCCTGAAAGGACCCTGGAAAGAAGAAAGAGAATGTACCAAAGGGACAAGGGAGAAGATGATGCTGGTAAAAACGGAAACGGACAATGGGAACCAGAGGTGTCAAAACAGACCAGGTGCAGAAAGCTGAAGGCATTAGAGATACGTGTGTGTGTGTGTGTGTGTGTGTGTGTGTGTGTGTGTGTGTGTGTGTATGTGTGTGTGTGTGTGTGAGAGAGAGAGAGAGAGAGAGAGACTGTGTATACCTGGGCACTGCCTACTTTGAAGTATTATTTGTGAAAGGGTGTATTGCTGGATGTGGTTGCATGTGCCTATCATCCCAGTGCTTAAGAGGTTGAGAGAGGAGGCTCGAAGACCCCAAGTCAGCGTGAGCTACATGGTGAGATCCTGTCTCAAAACAAAACAACCAAGAAAAAGCAGCCGAATTGGTTCACTTGTCTTTAATTAAGCTCACATTGTTAAGCAACAGAACATTTCATTGTTTGGTTGTGTTTTAAAGGGGAGGGGCATATGTCCTTAACAAATGTCTCCCGGGCTGCATGGCTGTGGGAGAAATATTTTTGCTTAATATTTTGGAAGGACTGTCTCTTGGTTCCCAGGGGAAGGGATTTCCTTCCAGGGACACACAGCCATCTGGGCTAATGTCTAAGGCATAAAAGAGCTAAAATTCTTTCTTATGTTTTCTTCTCCCACTCTGCTTTCTGTATTTAATTTCATTAAATCCGGAGACCTGTTAAAAACCTGACCCCTCAAACTGGCTACTGGTATGTCGACTTTGCAGCAATGTCGTGAAGATGGAATCCCTTAAGAGAGCAAGCAGCTAGCTCCTTCTCTTGGATGTAGTTTATCAGATGGATAATTCTGCCATTTCCCTGTCATTTCCTGAAAGCCAAGGCTGGCTAGTGAGAATGTGCTCCACCACACGCTAACTGTGAAGCACCAACCTTTAAACCTTCCCTGTTGACGGAATGAAGACAACACTGTGTTTCAATGGCAGCTTCCCATTACAGCCATCCACCAAAGAAAGGAGTGGGGAAGTTGTTACACGCTTTTAATTGTCCATGCACTAGCTGGAATATCATGACTGTTTATGAAAAGTACCATTAAGAAATCTGGACCATGCTAGGCGAGCAATAGAAGATAAATTAGCACCAAATACTATGAAACAATTTGACATTTGTGGGCTACGCATAATTGAGGGGACATCAAGAGTTTTCAGAGTGCTTTGTAGGAATGTTCCCAAATCTCTCCTAAAGTTTCGTGCTGATCAAAACCCTTGTTTCCTTGGATCTGAGCGGTACTCCACATGTCTACTCATGAGGCCCCCACCCTTCCTTCCCTGCTCCCAGGGCTGACTTTGGGTGTCTCTGCTGCTCAGACTCACTTAACCAGGAGTCTTCAACTGACCTCATAAAAATTCAGTACATTGGAAATCAAGGAAGTTCTCACTGAACTCACTGGCCAGCCACAAGGCAGTGGACAGCCTCACAAGGCTCACTGGACATGGTCTTTCTCCAGAGCGCCATTATGGCAGGGTAGAGCTTGCAGGACTGAGCGACAAGCAGTCTGCTCCCCTGAGCCCTAGGCTTAGTACAGCCTGAAGGGCTCCCATCTGCTGCAGTATGGATCTACCTAAGCGATGAAGATAATAGAGACAGGGCTTCCACGGGCCTTGAAAATTCACTGATGGACTTGTGTTTGCCTCTCCTAACCATTCTTTATGGCTAAGAGATGAACTCCCCACCACCACCGTGCCTTTTTTTTTTTTTTTGAGGAAATTATAAGAAACTTGACATATGAAAATATCATGAAAATCAGCAGGTTCAGCAATTCACTTCAATAGGTAACTCCTGGTATGCAGGACCCATCCCGAGTGAGTAAGTTCTAGTTTGGAAACTATGCCCAAGAGTTACTGAGTCTGGCGTGAAGAGAGAGAGCTAAGAGACGAAAGCAAACCTTAATGAGAAATGGCATCACGGTTGCAAAGCCTTAAACTCAAGGACCACAATTATTCTAGTTTTTCCTTCTGTGGAAACTGGCTTGATTTTGAGCACGAGTGTGAATAGATTTGAGAAGACACAAACGTTATAGACAAAGGCCAAAGAAAACGGACATTCCATTTGGGTGGGCTTGCAGTTTTCTGGTCTTTCCCACACAATGTTCCAAGAAATTTGCTCCTACTTTACAACTTAGGGACTTAAAAAGAAAATATGCCTGGGAAAATAAGAAAGAGGGGGAAGAGAAGCTAACGAGGGTGGTGACTGGGTAGCGGTCGGGAGTAGCCCTGCAGCTGGCAGGGCCTGTGGTGTGGAGGCCCCGCCACACTCATCCCCTAGTGCCCTCCTCATCCTCTCGCGCCAGCTCCATCCTGACACTGCTTTGTCCCTCTCCTGTGCACTCAGGGTGACCTGACCTGGCCAGCTCTCCACAAGCCATGTCCTGAGTCTGTGGGCTTTTTGAGGGAAAGTAGCTAATAGAATAAATAAAATAATAAAGGTTCTCTGACTTCCCCGTCAAATAGAATACCCTGAGTTTAAATTTTCATAAGCTTGTATTTTGAAAAGGAGAGAAGATGGTTGGAAATTTTAACTGCTGGGACGTGGAGATTAAAATTTCATCACACATATAGGAAACCAAATACGCCATCAGATTCATCGAAATGAACAAACCAAGCAGGGCATGGTGGTGTATGCCTCCGATATGTGACTAAGGAAGCTGAGGGGGGTAAGGCAAGAGTTTGAGGTCAGCCTGAGGTACTTGCTGACACTCTATCTCCAAACAATAACAACAAAACCCAAACCACTCACTGACAGCCACACCACCATGCCCCCAAAACAACCAGAGCGCACTCATGGAGGTCACACCATCATGCCCCAAAACAACCGGAGTGCACTCACGGACGGTCACACCACCGTGCCCCAAAACAACCGAGTGCACTCACGGACGGTCACACCACCGTGCCCCAAAACAACCGGGGTGCACTCACGGACGGTCACACCACCGTGCCCCAAAACAACCAGAGCGCACTCACGGACGGTCACACCACCGTGCCCCAAAACAACCAGAGTGCACTCACGGACGGTCACACCACCGTGCCCCAAAACAACCAGAGCGCACTCACGGACGGCCATGCCACCCTGCTTCCTGTCAGACTGAAAGCTGTGGGGAGGGGTGAGTCCAAGAAAGGAGGATGCCCCTTCTGAAGGCGGGGCCTGTGTCTGGCTGGACCTTTGGCCCTGTGTGACTGAAGGATTGTAGGTGAGTGTGTCTAATTAGAGGAACACACTCATGATTGTTTGAATAACGACCAGTCTCGGAGGAATGGCAACACCTCAGCGTGGGATGTTTTCTGGTCGTACAACTAAGCAGCTTTGTGGGAATCATGAACCAGTCTCCCCTACCTGGCTAATTTAAAGGCAAATAATAAATACACCTGGTCCCTGCAGCTACCTGACAGCTTTGCAGGTTGCTTTCTCTTGGGATTTCATTTGACAGTGCTCACAGCTCATATTGACGAGTAGAAAATATGTTGATGTTTTTACCAACATACAAATATTTTCACCTAACAGCCTGCCAGGCATGCTATTCTGAGACACTGCTCTGCCTGGACCTTTGCCTAAAATAACCATCACCACGTCGGTCTGCCATGCTCGCATGAGTTATTACTATGACAAGAACGGCATACAAAGGGTCTTTTAGCGCTCTTATACCTTATAGCATGTAGCACATGTTAGCCTAAAGGAAAAAGTAGACAGAAAACACATACACACACAACCCTAAAATGCTAAACCCCAGAAAAGATCTATTAAGTATTTGTTTTCAGGATAAAGGAATGTGAACTGACATATGGTTAAGATTGAGTAAAGGAAGATCGGAAGCGAGTGGCGTAGCCCAAGTTCAGGAGATGATAAATCCCGGTCTAGCTCCATGGTTAATGTTAGGCTCCTGGCTGGGGCAAAAGACAGCCTTCCTTTGCCATCTGTCCACTCACATATAGCCCTGAGACCATCATCTGCACAGGCAGGACCTTTCTCTCATGTGAGCTCTGGACCACAAGCCCCCAACATAATGCCTGGCATGGAGTGGACACTCAGTAAAGTTACTGTATCTTAACACTGTGCGGGTTACTTGGCTGTCCTGTGCCTCCCAGTTCCCTCGCACAAGCTTCCCATCCCACTCCATCAGGCAGTCAAGATGAGCAGACTGAGGATCTGAACACTATGAAGTACCACACAAGGCTATTTTAATGCAGAGCTCTCTGCTGGCTACCTGCGAGTTGTTACATGTGCTGTCTATTTGCTGAGCTAGTTAGCAGCAAATGCTTCTACTTCTTACACTCTGGGTTTGCTTTGGGGGCATAAAGTATTGTAAATCTCAACTTCTCAAAGTTGTCAACGAATGCACTTCTGCCAAGTATCAGAGACTAAGAACCGTTAGGAACTCTAAAGTGTCCTCAGGTTGGGAACACACAAATACGCGCGTGGGTGGACTGAAAGAGAAAAGGGAAGCTATGTCTGCCTTGCAATGAAATGGACAAGAAAGACCTTGTGTCTGGCTTTGAGAGAGATGGTTCAGCAAAGCCTCTGCTATGTTCGGATTAATCAGTCGAGGCTGAGAAATTGTCTTGAGACTGTTTAAACCTTGAAGAACTGCTGCTTCCAGGGAGAATCCGCACTTGGCGTACGTGAGAGCTTGCAGCTGCACCGACCTTGGTCCTAAGACGCTCCTGGCAGACCTGGAGTTCTTACTTTTGGTTATGGCTCCCCACGAACAAAAGGGACTGATATTTGTGGGGGCTGTCTGCTCTCACGGCAGCAAGGGCAAGATGACTTTGGTAGCTGGGACCTTTCCCAGCCCCTATTAACCATGCGTATGTTTGAATAAAGTAACTGGAGTGAGCTAGCTGGGCGTCAGTCTTTTCCAAGAAGGCTGAACCCCACTGCTCCTTCGGAAAATGAAGACTTAGCATCTTGGTGAGCATCTCTCTCTACTGCAGCATCTACAACCCCACATCAAACATTATGTGGATATGTATATACATACTCAACACAGAGAGACAGGAAGCCTTCAGTTCATACTTCAAGCAACCAAGAGCATGTCCATCACGGGGCACAAATGTTTGACTTTGCACATTTACTGACCCAACAGAAGTGTTGTGGGCTGAACGCCAGGTCTGCTGGTCTTCATATCAGGTACTCTAGGCTTAGTGACAAGATGCCTTCAGATAACCGAGGGAAGTGTTTTGGGAACCACAACTTCTATCTGTGCAGTTTTCTGTGGATCATGTGTTAAATGGCCCTGACCTCCTATAACACAGACAGAGGGTCCAGCGCTCGGAGCCCACATTACCTGGACTTCATCCCCAGTGATCATCTCCCACGAGCCATAGTGACCCTTCTCCTGCCGGAAGAACTGCACGGCTTCTAAAAAGGCTTGGGCTTCAAATGTCGTCTGCTTCATATAATCTAAAAGAAAGAAAGGGGGCATTTAATAAAGAGAAGAGGCTTTGCATTTTTCTGTGGTTCTTCAAGTAAAAGGAAGTAACATTTTCTATTATAAGTCACAAAACTATGAGAACACAAAAAACTAAGCAAGTAGTTCATTGGGAGTACATTTGTAGATACACACACACACCATGTATACATACATACATACATATATGTGTATATATATATGTGTGCATGTGTATACATGCGTATGTGTATATGTGTGTACATATATGTATATGTATGTATGCATATGATGTGTGTATATGTATGTATGTATGTATGTATGTATCACTGCTTACTCGCCATCCGTGCCAATAATTCCATCATTTACTGAGCAAAGTTCTCAGGACCACCACCACTTTCCCCCACCTCTCTCTCTCTCTCTCCCCACCCCTCACCTCAAATGCTTTCCCCAGGCACCCAGTGACTGCATGCCACCATTAAACAAGCCTACCACACAAGCAATCCATTAGTGGTACATCTGAACCCAAACTAAAGTACAATTTCTCTGTGAGCTGACATCAGCCCTTTCTGTCAAAAGCATGTCTATACAGAATGCTAATTTATGCAAATTAAAATGGCAATTGATGACACATAGCATGGTACTGTTTATTTAAGCACATCACCTATTTCATTGAGAACTGACAGAAATCCTGGAGGAGAGCATTGTTATTGCCTCCTTTGACAGAGGAGGCTGACAAGGCACAGAAAGCTGAATTAACTGCCGGAGGTCATACAGGAAGGATCCAGGTGGAACTGGGGAGGGTACCTGACTTTAAGCCTGCTTCTAATCATCACATTACACGTCCTAACTTGATGAACTTGTTTCAAAAAATAAAAAGAAAGAAAGAAAATATGGCCTTTCTTTTCTTTTTCTTTTTTTTAAGACAGGGCTTCTCTATGTAGCTTTGGTTATCCTGGAACTCGCTCTGTAGACCAGGCGGGCCTAGAACTCACAGACATCTGCCTGTCTCAGCCTCCCGAGTGCTGGGATTAAAGGCATATGCCACCACCGCCCAGCAAATACTACATTTTAATGGTATTTATATCTGAGAAATAATATCTCACCAGAAAGGAATGACTGATCGATCAGTGGTGGGGTTGCTGAGGGGCTCACTCTATAGCCCAGGCACACTTGGAACTCACAATCCTGTCCCAGCCTCCTGAGAGCTAGAATTATAGGCATGTGTCACCACACTAGCTAAAACCAGATCTTGGAGGAGAAAATGGTAACAGAATTGTAGAGATTTTGATGTCGGAAATGAACTTTAAAAATGATCTTGAACCTACAAGATGGCTCAGTGGATAAAGGTGTTTGCCACTGTGGTAGTTTGAAAGAAAAATGGCCTCCAAAAGGACTGGCCCTATAGGAGGTGTGGCTTTGTTGGAGTAGATATGATATGGCCTTGCTAGAGGAAATGTGTCACTGTGAAGGCACGCTTTGAGGTCTCAGATATACTCAAACCATGTCCAGTGTCTCAGGACCACTCCCTCTTGCCAGTGAGCCAAGATGTAAGAGAACCCTCAGCTCCCTCTCCAGCACCGTGTCTGCCTGGAAGCTGCCACACTCCCAGCTGCCATGTCCCACCATGATGATAATGGACTAAGCCTCCAAATTGTAAGGGAGCCACCACAATTTAATGTTTTTCCTTTCTAAGAGTTGCCGTGGTCATGGTGTCTCTTCACGGCAATGGAAACCCTAAGACAGCACCAAGCTTGATGACCTGAGTTCAATCCCTGAGACATACAGGGTAGAAGGAAAGACCCAACTCCTACAAGTTAGCCTCTGAGTCCTGTCATGGCACACACATACACATAATAAATCATTCCATCAATAAATATAATTAAAATTAAAAATACTCTAACCAGGCACTTTTGGGAGTACAACTCAGCGGTAGAGTTCACTTAGCAGGCATTGATCCTAAATCTAATAAGCTTTATGACCAACACACACACACACACACACACACACACACACCCCTAATCAAATCATAAAGAAATCCACTCCTAGAATAGGGAAGTGAAGGGAGGTTAAAGGGCAAGCTTCCACCACAAAAATGGGACACAGGTCTCTTGCTAGAAACCAAAGTCCATATATAATCTGTCATCGTCAAGTGTTGGTGCTATGAAGGCAGCTGGCTCACTGCAGACAGGGGTGGCATCATAGTTCTAGACCAGCAGAATTACTCAGTCATAAATGGTTGTTACAGGGACTGGGCATAACTTAAGAGAGTCAGCCTGCCCTAGCAGGTAGCAATCGACAGTGTGGATTACCTCCTTTGAGATTGGTTTACTAGATTATAAAGCACTAGGCACTTAAAAGAAGAAACACAGCTCAGGACACAGTGTCTACAAAATACTTCAGGGCACAGTATCTACAAGAGTTAAAGAGTCTTCACAGTCAGGGTACCACGAAAGCCTAGGAGGGACACCTTCAAAATCAGACAAAGAACCAGCATCTCTAACATCAACACAGAGTTTCGCTCCAAGGGGAAAACTGAAAAAGGGGCCTGCCCCACAAATCAAGTTTTCAAATTGAAGTATCTTCTTTCTTGTTATTTTTCTTGGCTTGGCAGCTCATTCAGTGTTTAACCTCAGAGGATTAGAAAATGAAAATTAAGGTCGTCCAATATGATTGCCAATGCCAGTGGCGGTGCTCTCCCCACAGTGGGATGTGACACAGGGCTCAGCCCACTGGGAAGGACGGGATGGGGCGAGATGGAAACTGTAATTATCATGTGGAGACTCGAGATGACTCATGGGCTCTTATTTTTAACAGCTGTTTTCATTTTCAACCTAAGGAAACAAAGAGATGGGGAGAGAAAGTGACTCTGTATTTGGATGGGGGAGAATGGTCAGGTCTTCCAGCCAAGTAACGGAGATTTGGATCCCTCAGTGAAAGCAATCTGACTTCTCTGACTTCTTCCCTGGCTGACCTTGGTAACTGCAGGAGATACTTTTTATAATCTGTCCATGGCCTTCTATGTCTACACAAACTGACGTGTATACTGATGAGAATGCTGCTAAAGGGTTTTTTTTTTTGAGGGGGGGGGAGAAAATAGGATTTGGAGACAATAATATCTTTAGAAAAAAAAGCCAAAGAAGGAATGTCAGAAAGCGAGGATGCAATGGTCTGGGAATGGCACACCTTATCCTTAGAGGAGAAAGGAATAAGGGACAAAATGGTTACAAAAGAAGCCACAGTTGGTCAACAGTGGAAATCCAGGAAATAGCCCTCATCATTAGGACAAATACAATTTTAACTTTCCTCTTTCTGTAGTCAGGAAAAGACCTATGTTGCCATTTGTCGTTAGATTTTCAACTTATACAAAAGTTAAATAAATTAGTTTATGAAAAACTTAGAGGGGAAATTCGCCACAGAGTAAGTTTCTCTGTGAGTGTCTGTTCTGGTCAAAAACCAAAACTCAAAAGGCAATCGCTAGTTCACTAAGCAAATAGAGAAAGACAGAGCTGTGCAGTTCGTTTCTCTCGGGTTGTTTCAAGAGGCAGAGCTATTTGAGAGAAAGCAGATTCCCAAGTTACTCGATCAGCGTCCTGTTCTCATGGGAACACATTGCAGCTGCGCAGCTGCCCTCCCTCCAGCCAATGAGGGAGCCGAGAGTTTAGCGCCGTGGTCTCCAGCATCAGTGGTTTGGGCTCTTCTGTGAAGCTTTCCCTCTGCGGGAAGACTTATGACAGGTAGCAAGTAGGCCAGAATTCCCTTTTCCCTCGTGCTGTAAGACTATACAAGGGGCTACATGTACCAGGGAGAGCAACTTAGGCATTTCTTAAAGCCGGATGAAGAAATTGAGGGAGCGGTACTTCCCTAGCTGAAGGTCACACAGCTGGTCAGAGTATTAGTCAAGAGCCGAAATATCCTGCGTGGCCTTGGCATTCACACTTGAATCACAGACTTTGCGAGGCAGGAGTGATCTTACTGGTCACTGACCGGGCCTTAGCTCAGTACCGAGAACCTTCAGAATACCGGAACAGTGCTCTCTTGGCCTTGGTTCAAACAGTTCTAGCGACAGAAAGCTGAGCTTAATGAAATGATTCTTTCTGCTTCTGAACTGCTCTAAGCATTCTAAAATATAAATTTTCTCCTTCTTTCAAGCCATTATGTTTCCATGCAGCCCCTCTACCACACCACATACACAACCCAATTACCCTCGCTCTTACAGAGTAAATTAATTGCCATTTCTCCTTTTCCATAAGGTGGGGTTAAATCCCAGGCATCCACTGAGGGGGCTGATTTTCCTTCAGCCGCTCTTTAAAGAATTTACCCTTTGGATCTCTTTAATCTAATCCTTTTTTCTCCTCGGTGATCCACTCTTAATTCCTCATCCTCTTGGCTCTAGAACTCACCCAATACACGGGAGAGTCTCCTGCGCCCTTTCTGGCTTCTTCTTTAACGCAGCTACAGTGTCCGGGTGACTCATGCCTTTTTTGAAATCCAATAAAATCCGTAAATGTTTTTCATATGAAACGCTTGTCAGCCTAAGCATCTCCTAACTTGCACTTCTGCTTTTTGACTTTAGGGCAGCCTTTAAAGCTTAGCCATGTAAAGTTGACAACTTGTTGTGATCAGCCCCACTTACCAAACCATTGAAAGATCACAGTTCTGCCCCTTACTCCCTTTTCATCCAAGAACCAGAAAATTTGCTAGAGTTGCCCTCTTTATTTCTACCCAACTCAATGAGGGGAAAAAAGGTTCCTAAAGTCAGGGGCACAAACCCTGGGAAACTGTAAGCATTTTTGGAGACATGTGGGAGACACATTGTAGCCATTCATTCAACACTCAGTATCCCCCAGGGCCAAGAAGTGTCTAGGAAGTCCAGCTCTTCTTGGTCTCTGCCGAGGGCCTCATCCATGCAGCTGCATGGAAAACTCATATTTGAGAGAGATGATTAAGAATTTTGCAAGGGAAACTGTGCTTTTCTAGGCCTCCTGGGGACAGTTATTCAGGGGGCCAGCCA